ACTCATTAGAGAGAGAAAGAAAAAAATGATAGAAAAACGAGAGAGAGAGAGAGAGAGAGAATAAAACATAATATATTATAACTTATATTATTCAGTGAAATGAATAATCAATACCTCTATACAAAAAACCCTGGACTCTAATGATGTGTTTTGTCATTAATTATTCATTTAAAACAGCAGTGAATGAGTGGATAGAGTGAGAGAACCTGTATCTCAAAATTCTGGGAAATTCACAGAATACCAGAGAATATATGTTACACACGGTATGAGAATTCTTGTGTCAAATGAGAGAAAAAACCATTTGAAAAATCTAAAGCTCGATAAAAACCAAGAAAAATTGTGTTTGGGATAAACGGTTAAGCCCTGCGATTCTGGGAAATCACTCGCTCTGGTAGTGAACACCACAACAAACACAGACACACACACACACACACACACACACACACACACACACACACTATCCCTGTTGTGCTCTCCCACTCACTATTCATTATATATAAACCAGAATTGATTTGGAAACAAATAATTCACCACTTATTCTGTAATGATTTTAATAAATATTCGTATATTTCTTACATAATATTTGTTTCCAATATATTTTATGTAAAACAAAAACGTTTCCCAAGAAATGTTAGACAAATTAAGGCCAACTATAATATCAATATTAATGTGTATTTACACTAAAATATAGTTATAGTGAACATCTTAATAGTGTACTCATTTGTGTTTGTCATTCACTACACATACACTGAATCATAACAATCTATCCCTACATTTATATTATTTGTTATGTATTATAATGTTTGGGTTTTGTTATAAAATATTGATTTTTATTGCTATATATCTTTGCCGTATAAGTGCTGAGATTCCGCTGAATTTTATTTGTAAATAAAATATAAATTAAATTTATTTTTATTCAAATGTCCAAAACATTAGTTGTACTTTTCCATAGAATCGCTAATTAAATACTAATAAATAATCATTAAATTGTGTGTAAATTAAATCTAATTAATAGACATTTGTTATTATAAATAATTATTTTTTCAGACTTTTTGTTGAGACTTTATTCAACAAATAATTAAAAAGACATTTGAAAAACCCTTTCGCTATTCCAATGAATAGAGAAAAGCGTTAAAACATATGGAAAGCACTTTCCTTTGGATTCATTGAAGCAAAAGTCGATATAAAATGAATTGTTTTTTCTTGTGTTACAAATGACTTAAAGTGAATACGAAATGCATTTGTATTTCAACGGAATTTATCGATTGAATAGTTTATGGATTTATTGTTCATTTTATTTTTCTATTGTATTCCCATTATTGCTGTGAATGTCTTCATGTCTTTTATCGACTCCCCATTTGCTTCAACTCATCATTCAATGCATTGTTGGTAAGGGAAGGGTAGGGAAGACTAAAGGCATGTCCATCGATACGCTGAACTACTCTATGCCATAATTAATGTCAAATATTTAAACTCAAAGGCTATTTATTTTGAAAATTGAGCGTTTATTGAGAAAAAGTCACAATAACCAAAGTCAATGACCCATCAAATAGTTCATGATAACTCTTTATAGCACCCATAATGACACACCAGCCACCCCTCCCCCACCCCAAAGCTGGTCACCCCTCACTACTTCGCATTCCTGGAGTTTCATTTGAATTTCATTTATTAAATTTCATTAAATTTGTCGATATATTAATCAAATGTGTTTTTCATACATAATAAACAAGTCTATAAATTATTTTTCAAAATTTAATTAAGTATTTTGTGTATCAGTACTACTTTACTGATTCAGTAGTCTCTCTCTCTCTCTCTCTCTCGAAATGAGAGGAAGTGTTTGTCTCTTAAATAAGTGACAATTCTTAAGGCATTACGTCATTCATAACCACAACAAATATACTTAACATTACGTGTCGTTTGAATATTAACAGCAAAATACAAACTTATTTTTTATTCACTGTTTATTCAGCGGTTGTCTGCTTTTAATACACGTCTCTCTCGGCGTCTATTGACGACTGATATATAAATTTTCATATTATTTTCGTTTGCCTATTATTTTAACCACATTTTTATTATATTTATTACAAAAAGTATTATTAATATAAGCTATAAATAATATTTCGTAACAAAAATATCAAAAACAAAAGTTTTTTCGCTTGAGTTAAAGGGAAACGTGTCTATTTTTAGATCGAGTTATTATTAATGATAATTATTATTGAATTAAAGGCTCTCTCTCTCTCTCTCTCTCGTTTTTCTATCATTTTTTTCTTTCTCTCTCTAATGAGTCTGTTTTTCCCAACCATTTGCCTCCCGGAGGAGTCAGTCAGTCAGTAGTGGCACTTCAATACAGTTTACTCTCGTTTTTTT